AGCCTGTCCCAGGGCTCCAACACCCTCACAGTAAATAAGTTTTTCCTTAAGTTTGTCTGGAACTTCCAGTGTTCCAGTTTGTGCCCATTGCCCCTTGTCCTGCCACTGGGCACCACCGAGAAGAGCCCAGTCCCATCCATTTGGCCCCCACACTTCAGATATTTATAGACATTGATCAGATCCCCTCTCAGTCTGCTCTTCTCCAGGTTGAAGAGTCCCAGCTCTCTCAGCCTCTCTTCATACGGGAGATGCTCCAGGCCCTAATCATCTTTGTGGATGAAGGCACTCTGCAGATCATCACACCTCTGGAGGACACTGTCTGGAGTGGTGGCCAACATCTCAGCAGCATCCGGGGTGGCGGCCGGGCAGACAGATGCGTGTCAGGAGACGCACTGCTGCCATGCCCCAGTGTACCACACAGGGTCCCTGGGCCACCTACCTTAGTGAACCAGAGAAAATCCTGCATGAGCAGGCAGGAGTAGGTATCATCAATCTCCACCACGGGGATCTGGTCTTCATGGGTCACCAGGATGTTGTCGTCCTTGTAGAAGATGGCTGTCAGGTAGAGGCCCCTGCATGGGAGGGAAGACAGACTTCAGTGTCACCCCCAGCTGCCAGCTTCATTTCCCAAAGAGGCTCTCTTCTGAGGGCAGAGGAGATCCCCTGCCCCAGGTCTCAGCTCCTCTCCACCAGCCCATGGCAGAACAGGCACACAGCCAGTACAGGAGCAGGAACAAGAACCCAGTGGTGCCCCCAAGGTGAGTCTGGCCAATGCCACAGCTGATGCCATGGCCGATGCCCTGGCTGGCACAAGGGAGGGCGATGGGGCCAGGCCTGTGCAGGAGACACACTGGGGTGCCTGAAGGCCAAGCGTGAAGGTGGGTGGTGGGAGAGTGGTGGGGTCTAGAGGACGGTGGGGTGTTGGGTGATGCTTGGAGATGGTGCAGGGATCTGGGTACAGGCACAGCTTGGTCAGTCCACATAGAAACACGAAGGAGAAACATTTGATTTCTGGTTAATGGGACTCAACTCCATGGACACCACCAGCTCGCTCCAGGCAAGGACCCTCTCTGAGCACCCCCTGGTCCCTGGTTTGTGCATGCAGCTCCTGGCCATGCTTGGTATGGGCATCCCCTAGGTCCCCACTGGGAGATGGGCTCCCTACCACACCTGCACATCAGCCTCTCACCGCTTCAACGTCTTGAGAAACTTGCTGCCGGGGTGGAAGAGGTGCTTGAGGCTCTTGGAGACCGAGTGCTTCCTGCTCTGGGGCTGGTTCTTGCAGGGCTCTGGGGAGCAGAGAGCAGAGGATGCTGCAGCAGGAGATGAAGGGTTGCACTGGCAGCCCATGGCACAGCACGTCGACCCGGTGGGAAAGCTCTGCCAAGGTCCCCACTGCCTGAATTGTCTCCTTCCTATGCTCATCATGGGACAGACCTACTCCTGGTGCCACCCCAGTCCCTCAGACCATGTCACAACCCTGGGGGGCCCAGCTGGATCCCGCGCTCCAGCCTCCCCGCAGCACTGTGCTGTGCACTCACCATGGCAAATGCAGTGCTGGTGGACAGTCTTCACCTGGCCCAGGAGATGGTCCAGAGCTTCAGCTTGTCCCCTTCTCCGTGGAGCCCGGCCGTCGTACTCCCGCCAGTCTGCGGGGGACAGACCAGCATCACCCCAGCACGTGGCCCATCGTCCCCAGCACCTACCCCTCAGCCTAGGTGAAAGAGAGCTTCCCGTCCTCTCCTCTCCATGGCAGGTCACCTCCTGGCACCCCACCCATGTGTCCCACAGGCATGGCATGGCATGGCAGGGCATGGCATGGCAGAGCAGCAGTCATGGGTGCTGGGCACCTCTGGGTGGGCTGGGCTTTGAGAGATCCCCAGTTTTGTGACCCTTTTCCCAGGAACACCCCAGCTCTGCACAGCACCCCATGGCCACCAGCCACCCCGCAGCACGGCAGGGACACGGCAGAGGGAAAGAACAAGGTCCCGTCTGTTGCTACCGCACTTCATCAGCCCTAAAAAATAAAATTCTTTCCAGTGTCTTCCTCCAGGTCTTCCCTGGAGCTGCAGCTTTCTCCAGGCGAGTGCTGAGAGCCGGGCTCACCTCAGCAAACACAAAAAAATTCTGCCAGCTCCCCCCGCTGTGAGACAGCAGCAGGACCAGGAGTGGGGTCAGGGACCCACCAGCACTTCTACGTTAGCTTTACATTAATTGCTTTAAACACCCCCTGTGTCCTGCCCACTGCTGTTTTCCATGGAAAGTTCAGCTCTGTTAACTTTGGCTGGAGCTCGCCACTATTTTTAGGAGCTTTAAAAACACCCAGGGAGGTGCCTGACTATATTCTGCTGGGCCAGGGAGGGAGAAATATTAATGGAGATAAAAATAAACAAAACCGACTCATGTCTGATTCACTTCAGCCGTCCTCTTTATCGATACCGTGTGGATCTTGGTCATGGGGAATGTGACCCGTGTGGGATGGCAAAGTGGGTGCCAACACGACACCCGTGTGTATCTGCAGCCAGAGCTGTGCCGGGTGCCCACAGAGCCCCGGCCCCATCGCTGTTGATGTGCTGTCAGACCCACATCTCCACCCAGACATGGTGGCAGGGCCGTGTGCCCACCACCCTGCTCCTTACACATCCCATAGCGCTGATCCCGTGGGATCGCCACACAGTGGAGATCCATCTCAGGACCAGAGGCCACTTTGGAGCCTGCTCAGGGACTCTGGGGCTGGCTCCTTCCAGTTCAGTCCTCCTGTCTGTCCCCCCAGCACCCTGGGGTGCACTGTGTGAAATTGGGTGGCTTTTTCCCCTCCTAGCCCTGGTGCCAGCGTGGGGAGGTGGATGCTGACAGCTTGGAGCTGGTCTCCAGTGGGGCTCGTGACCCCCATGCCAGCTCAGTGTCAGGGAACGCAGGTCCCCGGGGCTGGGCTGGATGGGTGACAGCATGTGGTGGCACAGGGCCACTGCCACCCTGGACCAGGATGTCTCCAAGCCCTGGGAGACATCTCAAGGGGCTGAGCTGAGGCATCCCACCACATCTCCCCTCAGCACGTGCCAACGATGGCTTCGCTCGAGCTTGGCTGCTTTGGGGCAGATGTCACTGAGGCTGTAAAGACCGACCCCTCCCCAAAGCTGCCCCACGCTAAATGACAAACCTCTGCTAAAAACCCAGGGGTAGTTTTCCTTCCTACAGAGGAGATGGCTACATCGCCTTCCTTCTCACTGAGAGAGCAAAACATCTTCTCACCTGGCTTCCTCCTTAGGATGAGCTGCTCCAGGTGGCCTCAAACAGCTCAGCCTTTACCAGGAGAACTTCAGGTTCAAAAATTACTATTTGGCAAAACTCCTGTTAGCTGGAAGCAGCATCCCAGACCCCTGGCACAGCCCCCCTGCCTGTCCCGAGACCCCAAATGCTGCCTCTGCTCCTGAGTCCACTTGACCCCATCCCAGCAGCAAGAGGGATCCCTGGATGGCACAGGGAGCAGCCACCTCCCCCCATCCACCCCACAGCCAGTGCTGGCTCCCACGGGCGTTCCCAGTGGTACTTACTGGAGGGGATGGCAAAAGGGGGCACGGAGGCTTGCGGGGGACCCCAGCCCTTCATGTTGTAGGCGGAGACCTGGACGTAGTAAGCCGTGCCCTGCGAGGAGGGAAGCCACGCTCAGCACACCAGCACCGCTCCCGGCTCGGCATACGAGGGAAGGAGGATCCCCCATAGCCCAATACACCAGTACACCAGGAGGTGTGATAAACTGGGTCACTGGCTCTGACCTCCCCTGCTGTCCAAAGCTCTTGTTATCAGACACTAGAGAATCCCCACGGCCTGGTGGGTGGGTTTGTGAGGAGGTAAAGGAAAGATGGGACATTGCAAATGCCCCTTGCCATGAGATGCTCCAGCCCCAAAGACACGGGGTTTCCACAGCCTGGAGGGTCAGGGTGCTGCCTTCCCCTGAGATGTGCAAGGATCCCATCCCTGGAGAGAGGGAGCTGGCCCAACGCTGTGGAGGGCTCGTGGCATGGTGACAGTGATTGAAGGCCCCTGGTTAAAGCTCAGTCAAGCTGCCAGATGTTGCAAGGCCTCCAGGCGCTCATGAAGGTGGACAGGAGCCTGTGAAGCAGCTCTGAAAGCGTGATTGATGGGCTCAGGCCAGCTCCTTGCAGCAGCACCGCTCCGGGCCATGCACAAGCCCCGTCCTGCCATGCACCAGGGCAGCTCTTCTGCCCCAACAGCAGCTCTGGGGCTCCAGCACCCCTGCCTTGGC